CTGCTATGACAAGTTGAAACTCTTAGTTACAGAGGTGGACACACACACACGCCCGCCCGCCGGCCCACCCATCCACGCACCCACCCACACACACAGGTATGCACGCACAGGCACACGCACAGGTACACGCGCACACACACACACATGCAAAAGCATTCGTCCAGGTTTCTCAGCTGTTTATTGTCATAGTAATAGTGTTCACTGCTCGATGGAGCGGGTTGCAGGCCCTTCGACACTTAGATCCGTTTCAGCGAAGGAAGATTACAGTCCTATGCTCCCTAGGATCCGTTCTCAGAGCAGAATGGCAGTGTCCGATAATGACTTCGAGAGGTTTGTCATTGATGTTGTGCCGACTTAGGTTTGGCAGTAGTTCTTACACTGCTGTGCTTCCTTCAGGAGCTACCTCAATATATGGTTTGTTTTCAGATGCTTGTCCCACATGCCATTCGGAACCACGGATTTGCCCTTGACTACTGCCAGCCTGCTAGGACTTTGGAGATTCTAGCAGTGACTTGCCTTTGTGCGCACGATTGTGCGCATGTAAGCGATTGTAAGCGCATGTGCCGGTTATATAATTCTCGCATGAACCGATGGACACGAACTTGAGGCCATAGAGAGCGCAGGCTCCAGTTCGCAGAGGACACTACGACTACAGTAGCCTGTCCAAACTTTAGATCTCAGGTTGGAGAGGGTGGGAGTGCAGGACTCTTGGCAAGGCCGTTCTTGAGCCGTGAGTGGTATTCGCCACCCAGGAACCAGACCTCTACCCAAACGACCTGCTTCTTAACAAACCCTATGGCAAGGAGGAGCCAGGCAGGGACGGAGGGCTTTATGCTTTAGCACCAATGTCCAGAAGCGCAAACAAATATATTGTAAAACAACAACAATATAAAAAGAAAAACACAACAGTCAAAACACGAACACAACAGAACACACACGAAAACCAATATATATATAATCAGTTATTTGTTTTTCGTGTTGTGTTGCGATTTTTCGACCGGGGGCCCAGGCAGAAAGTTCCTGGCACTTTTCCATTGCATTGGCATCGTCATGAGCCGAGAGTGGAGATTGGAAGTGTCACAAGGATGTCCAGGGTGTTGCATGAATTTAGGCATACATGGTGCTTGGCCTGAACACAGTCTGCGACGTGTATTTTGCC